AAACACGTAATAAACAGTTTAAATCAAAAATCCTACAAACTAAGTCGAAATGAAAAGTTAAACACTATCTAATATAATTAAAAATAACATAAATCAGTGGCGCAGATGCTTTCATTATTATCTATCAATCTAATAGGCAAGTAGATCAGCCTCCTGTGCCTGACACACGCCGACTTGTTGGGTCTAAGGCTCGCCGGTTTCCATACGATGTTTTCCTTCACCGAACGAATGTTAAAACCGCATATAGAAAGTCCGTTGGTGCACAGCCGAGGCTCGAACCTACGACCTCAAGGATGACGCACGCTGATGCTCCAACACCGCTCATTTGATATAATTAACAACCTAAATACTTAATTAATGACTTACAAGGTATTGTTCACCCAGAACCGATTCATAATTAAAGCTGCATTGTAAATTAATTTTTATTAAGTCAAGGTGTATTAATTTTCCTCAACGTATCAGCTACCTGTACCCTCCATGATTTATGCAAAGAGGTTTTATGCGACACGCGATATAAACAATGCAAGGAGGAACTATGGCCTAGAACCTACTAATCACTCACACTTAACAATAGATAACCCAATTGGTACATTACTTTCGCGTCCTTGGCTATATCATGTGATCTATTGTATCGACATCGGCACTGAGATTAGCGATAATTAATGCTGATTCCATACGACCTAGATTCGGCTCCGCTCGATAAAGTTAATTTACAGTTATAGTTGTAAATCTCGTTGCAAAATAAACGAGCACGCGCCTGACCACAGACAACACGAGGTGACTCCCACAAGGTAACGTCACACGCCCGCGACCTCCGTGTGTGCCATGAATGACTCGACTATATGTGGTGTGGGGTACTACACGCCGGGTGGAAAGCTTACCCCTTACGCGCCCGTAACTTTCCCTCTCTATACGCATGTTCACAACACGCGTGATTCAGCGACGGAGAGGGTTAAAACTTTTGTGTGAATGAACTCTGTTTGACAAGGGCTTGTAACTTTCGATTTCGCATATGGGGCGATCGATAAACTTTGTTTTACTACTCCATTTGAACGTTTTATGTTGGACATAAACACGATAGGTTCTGAATGTTAAGTGTCCAGTTTGCGGCGTCGATATATAATTATATAATGTATATCCTTAATAGAACTATACTTGACAATTGAAAAAGCACAATTTGACATGTTCTGCAATTGTTTATGGTCGACTAGTTGTCGATCGTTAGAATTAGAAAGCACAAAAGTATTGATCTAAGTGACCGCAAGATCGACGCCATTTTTATTAAAAAGTTATTCTTATTCTATACCTTCACTTCAATTTAATCAATGGATCCTCAAAAATATTGTTCTACATATTAATCATATGTACAATGTACATCCACTGCACTAATGAGAGGCGTTTCGTTTATAAACTGACATAAAACAATACGCAAATATGAGAAGTTGTTATTGGCAACATTCCTTGTATAAACCATCTTTTCATAGCCATTTAGCGATGGCACTTCCAACAATCCTTCCACGTGAATTACATCATAAAATAAATGAGATTCGTCCATGTTTGACTATATATTTATTAAGCAACACACACTTAGTAAAAACAATCGAAAATGATAAATTTTCACGATAGTAAGGCTATTTAAATAAAACTTCGCTTCATTAACAGTTGTTAACATACCGGGCACTGTTAGACTACACTTTATAAGTAATTAACTGAAAACATTATTTTGGATCTTCGTAAGTAACGGGATGGTGTGAGGTCCTTATTATTGAACTTTTTCAACATCCGGTATTTATACAAATTAGTGCAATAATAACCTAAATCCTTAGGCGTAATATCGTTTAAAATTCATCCAATTTCCGTAAGAGTAGATATATCGACACTTGTAATTATGCAAATATCGAGTGGCCATAACTAGTGACATGTTTTAACGACTCCCGCGCACTCGGATAGCCTATAAAACACAACGGAACTTTATTTAAAATTAATTGTAGGTTTAATATTGATTTATATAACATTTAATCCTATACATGTTCTCGGTGCGCCTTAAAATAATGTTTTTTGGATGTTAGGCTAAATATGAAATAATGAAGTATAAAATGTCGTCAGATTACAAAATAGATGTTAGTTATAATAAACAGAAAGAATCCCACAAAATATTAAACAACATTTTAAAAATCTATTAAGGATGGAATGGCTGTATCTGTTATTTCCACAGATAAAAGTTAAGAGCGAGTGAAGTCTCAGTGAAAAGGTTTTTTATCATACAATACGTCAATGTCAAGTTTCTAACCCCAGCAGTCTCCGTGAATCTGTCAAAACACAATTTTCTTATGTGGATAATAAAATTAGAACAATATACAAGTGGGAATTAAATAATGATATGAAAAGATCAACGCCTTATTTAAGACTACACGTATTGACAGATCTGTCACTTGACAATGCCATATGTCAAAGTCATGTAGGTTAGAAATTGCTACAATTGAGCAACGCCAGCAGTTCTCCCCTCCATACCTTGTAGTAAAATGTTAACCTTTTGTATATATTATTAGATGTCTGTGTGTGTTGTATTTATTGTGATGTCATTTTTGTTTTGGGTAACTCTGCTTAGATAAAATTCAATCTAGTAAAATTATCAAATCTATCCTCACTGTGTGAAGACTTAGAACGTGACATTGGCGGAATTGTGATTTACACAGATGTCGCCATTATAAATAAAGTGAAGTGAAGTGAAGTGAGCAACGCCAATCTAAGTTATTTTCTTAATGTGCTGAATATCGCAGTGATAGAAAACATCGTGAGAAAAGCGATATACATACTTACTCGTAAGATTATAGTTGAATAGTTTCTTTGTATACTAAATCTCAGTAAATAGTTCAAATTGAAAATTATGTTTGTCCATTTATCGCCGAAGAGGTAATGCGGGTGGATCTGCCGTAAAACGTAAAATTAGACAAACATTTTCGGACCCATACGCGCAAATTGCGTAAGCGGAGCGTTATTCCAACAACCGATATTTATATAGAAGCGGGAAATAACTAATATTAGGTATCACGACACACGCATTAATTGCGAACAGTTAAACACAGGTATACTCAACTAGTTAATGATATAGGACCAAGACAAACTATAAAGGAAGTCTAGTTTATTGAGAAAAACGAGAAAGTGCTGTAATGTATGTCGATTTCAAGAGTTTTATGCCTTTCCGGTTAGTTATCTGAATGGTGTTGTGGGTCTACCAGCGTGTAATTGGTATAGTGCAGTGATAAAGACTTTTACTAAGGTTCAAAGGTCGGCAACATACCCTTAGGTAAACCAACAGAATATGACGGTTGGTGAGCGCTTAAAGAACGACGAAAAACAATTTTTATTTATTACCGACAAAGATATGCAGCGAATTATGATTTCATTTGACGATTTTAGATGCTTGCAGCAAATCTTTCATAGGTCGTCCACATACCCGCAAACCACAAGCTATGTCGAGCTATGTCGGTTGGTGAGCACTTTAAAGTGACACGCTTGTTTGCCTATCATTTTTTTGTATATAACAAAAGCTATTAAAACCTGAAATTCAAAAAACCAATACAATTTATAACTTATAAAACGAAATGAGGTTTGATTATAAAAAACTTTTCGCAGTTCTATAATCTATACAAAACGAGTCATAGCAGGATTTATCTGTGGCGAGATATATTCTGTATTTGAAACAAGGTATCGATTTGTCGCTTCGGACAGACGACAGCGCGGAGCTGCATTTTATTTATTGTACCTTCATAGCTAGTTGGTTTACGGGCGTTGCACGTAAAATAGTTTTATCCTACGGATGTTAATTTAAAAGCTATTTCACAGTTTTTATATTGAATTTAAACTTTTTTGTATTGATAAATCGATTTTGATATTCTGAGCCTTCGGTATTGTGAACGGCGGTATTAACGCCTTATAAATTACTAAAATTGTTATGGTTTGAAATAATGCCATATCTTTTGTTCTAATTCTTTTATTTATTTTATTTTATGGTACCATGTATAATATTTTTTACAGTGTAAGTTTTTAGAGTGACACGAATTACAATCTAGCCTATACAATAGTTATGCCTAATAAGTAATATTATGTTGAATTAATATACATATATAAGTAATGTTCATTAACAGTCTTAGTGTTTTATAATATTTTGACACTATGTTAGTCCGAGATACTCCGGAGATAGTCCGGACATGCACTTATATTTTCTACAGTGAAAGTGAAAATCTATCTATTCTGAAATACAAAAATAAATTAAAAATAATAAAAATATTACACTTCCAACTCTAATATAGAATCGAACTATAAGCTTCTATTAGTTAAAATATGTTACGTACCTACCATACGGGAGGGAGAACAAAGTATTAAATAGCTATTTAACGATTATAGTACCTACGTGTATAAATAGTTAAGATTATATTGTGAAATTCCTTATAGTATATACTAAAACACTTGTTTGTATATCGTAAACTGTAATAAACACGTTTAAATTAATAAATTCGTTTATGCAATAAAATATGAATGCCATCTACCGGCGAGTAGCGTAATTGCAATGAAATAGGTATTTTCTTGATTAAAATCAGGTGTGTTGTGGTTTAGTAATAAAATCAAGTTGAATTATATATGTTTCGTTAAAACTACGAGCAATCAGTTACCGCCCACAATTAGGTAACTTGTTACACGACAGCTTTAACAGTTATTTCAATATACATATTCGTTAAAATATCGATATAGATAGAAAACCTTGTCAATAGATTCTTATATCTAAGAGCAAGTACACAAATTAATGTTTAAAATCTTAATCTTTGACAATTCTTTAAGAAAATGGTTATCTGATACAATATTATTACTACAATCATTTTTTTTATAAGTTATAATATATTTTATGTCATATTTCAAACATTGCGGTGCAGGGAGCGAGCGATATATCTTATCAACAATTCGACAAATACTCAAGAAATTAATTTGTTTCAGTGTTCGGTATGGACTCCCCATTGGGACTCTTTCCCCCCGGGATGGAGCACAAGATGTACCCCCTGATGGACGTGGAGCACCGGCCGACCCCCCTTGACGCTCAGCTTTTCACCAACGTCAAGAAGAAATGTGGGTTACACTTATATCCTACTCATAGTAAGTCCCTTTTATCTTGTGGCCAACCTTTTATATATCTTACATAGTTAACGAAATTTCTTCAAATTCCATTTATGTATTCTAAATTTTCTTAAGTAAATTTTATAATACTTAATTTGTGCGTAAAATAGAGGCTCGTTTATCCCAGTACTAAATAAATTATATTAATTACCAACCGTCTTATTCATAAACACTAAATCTGTCTTACCTACTACATAGTATTAACTACAATTGTCTTAAATGTGAACTTCTGTAATAAGACAAACCAAATCAGTCAAATTAAAACTGTATTAACGCTGATTTGGTTTTTAGAAGGTTCTATTACTAATACAAAAGTGTGAAAGTGTAACTAGTTTTATATCGTAAATAGTGGCGTCTTAAAAACTGCACGAAAAGTAGGTTGGCCACAACTTGGTTCTTATTCTAAGTAAAAGCGAGATAAGTGTAAAAAACCTCGTTAGTAAAAGGCGTAGATAAGTAAGACAGTTTGGCATTCGTCTAGAAGCTTCGATCGTAAGATATCGCCAACTGGTTATACCTACACGCAGTATGTTAACGATGTTGCGAAGTATCCAAAGCCGATCAAACAATAGTTATTATGCACTAGAACTAATAATAGCATACTAGCTGCAACCGTGTCCCGTCACATATCTTGCAGTCTTGCAATCACATCGCGCATAATGTTAAACGACCATTGTTTCCCGGTGAATGTTTATTAAGACGATCTGATACTGTATCTCATAGGAACAGACGCCGAGTCTAACGTATGCTCACAATAGACCTCTGTCAAGCTCCACACACAATAGCCAACTCGATCGATTAGCGCCCATCGACGTCACATGCATATAGATGCCCCCCAAACAAGGTCCCATTACGAATGCAAAACGCCTTTTAATATCCCGCAATGAACTCGCGTGACCTCCGCGATTATTAAGAATACTCATTGGAATTATCTGATCAGAACGGAGTTAACGTGATCCGTCGAAATTACAACTATAAAGTTGGGGGCGACGTCGCCGTATGTACGTTCTTTTTGACAGAACCACCTTAATAGTCGCGTGCTCGCATCGAATTAATGACGGATCCCGGCGTGTCGCCGCAACCCGCTCATTTCGGTCGTGTGTCGACTGGCATCGAGCTATTGCTCAGTTAAAACACGGTTATTAGATAGTTGTGCCGCATTACCGGGGCAATGTTGCCGCAGTTGCTGCCCGCACGGCACATGTCGTGCATTGATACAGTCTGCATTTTTCTAACCGAAACTGTAAACCATAATTAGCTAACTTATTCGACATGAAGTTTTTCACATTCTTTAATGTAATGTTTTGTCTACAGGGCGACCAAAGGGACAGCACAGTGCGCCGCGCGGTGGGCCACCTCGATCCTGGACAAACGCTGAGCTCACAGAAGCCCTTCAGCATGTCTGGAATAAGAAAATGACGACGAGCCAGGCGTCACGGATATTCGGCATCCCATATAATTCTCTTCTTATGTACGTTCGAGGAAAGTACGGAAAAAGTTTGAAATTAGAACAGCTAAGAAAAGACTGTATAGGCGGGCCTTTAGAGGTGTTAAATTTAAATTCTGGTAACAATAACAACAACCATCCATCAAGCAAACATAGCGTCAAAGAGGAACAGCATCAGAACATAGGCCAACGACCAGCAAGCTCCGAACCAGATATCTCCTCGAATCCGATGTTTAACCCCTTCCAACAGGGCTTTTACCCTGAATTCCCACCTGGTTTTCCCATGCCGCTGAACATGCTCCACTTGTTACCGCCCAGTGATAAAGCAAGAGAACTATACCAGTCCATGCCAATGGCACTGGACTCTCTGTCTGGAGTGACAAAGGAGGAGGATTGCAAGAGCGACCGATCAAAGGAAAACTCTGCTGATGAGGAGGGCGATACGTATCGTGCCCCTTCACACCCTCCCCACCCCCCGGACAACCGCACTCTTCTTCATCACAACGGACAGGACTAAACTTAATCTGACTTAGTAAACTTTAGATTCCGTACCTCTTCTATTTTTCCATAATATGGTTTTTTCTTTGTGAATGTGACAGTTAAACTGAAATTGTCTTCGTATACCAGACGCTGATCGGTTCTCGTGCAATAATGTATAAAGACGTTTGAACTGGATAATACTTTTACAATTTCAGTTTCACTCGGAGTAAAGAGGTCGTGATCTCCAAAATTAGTTAAATTGATATTTAAAGATGTGTTAATATTGTAAATGTATTTAAATCGCGCATAAGGGATAGGCGATATTTATTGATCCGAGGTGTGCAATAAGTATGAAAGGCGTTGTGATTGTTATCGGCGGTCGAGTCGACGTGCTCTCTTTATTGTTGACATTCCATTCTGACATTCCATTTTAATTATTTTTAGATAATACTTCATATCACTGTAGAATATGATTTTACTGTATATTTTAAAGTATTCTTGCCTGTAAATTGTGTTATCCCAATGTAAATATTATGTTAAATGTGCGAGTTGACTCTCACATTTTCACCAAAGTTTGTAAAATATTTCGTAATGGTAGGTATTATTCGATAAACAATTTTAACTGTAAATAGTTACTATAAAATTATTGGGATATTAAAATTTAACTAACCATTAAATAGGATGACATATGTGTCTAAATGGTAAATAGTAGTTTATTTGTAATTGTTGTAGTATTAGTGAATGAAATCGGTGAATTGCTAGGCTGTCGTGCGTGAGCGCACGTTCGGAGGCTGCGACGCACTGCTCACAAACTCAACCATAAAATAGGAAAATCAAAATCTGTTCAATTCAATGTGATCCCACAAATTATAGGTTATGTCATGACGAGTTACCGAAGCGCATAATCTGTGCACCGCAACGTATAGCGATGTCATGTTAACGTAGCGAGCTTTGAGCTCGATACCGATGCGGAAATCGTGATCCAAAAGAGATGTGCCCGCAACTATTCGGGTGGTCCTGATTGCGTCGTGACGTAAGCAACTTTATGATTACAGATTAAAAATACAAAGAGTTGATTATCAATAATAAGATGACGACAGTGCGCGCCTGGTCTAGACAAATAATGTATCTGCACTCAATGTTCAAATAAAAAGGAGCTTTCGAGATTTTAGTGAATAATGAAAGTTTAGATTAAAGGTCGAAACCCTTCTGGCTTTAGATAATTGTATACAATCATTTCGTATTAAATATACAGTGATTTATCACACCCTAACATACGTTTCCTGAGTTTCCTCATCCATCACTTCATGTTTTAATATAGATAATATTCAAAACTGCAAATCTCTTTAACAGAAGACTGAACACTATTTTTGACTCTATTTTGTATGTCTGTATATTTCACAAATTCACAGATACCAACAGCAGTGAGCACATAGTATACAGTGGTTCGTCATTTAACAATATATCATTACAGGGATTTTATATATAACGTTATTAGTGTGCTTATAGTTTAATAACTTGCTTTTAAAATTTTGTTTATTACATTCATGTATATTCATGTTTCGAATTCATAACTTTGACTTGCGAATCGAAGGACATATTGACACAGTTCCGTTCGCATTTTCGTGTGTCCACATCGCAGATATATCTATAGATTTCTATAGTGATGTGCCAAAAATATAGTGCTTTTTATACTTCACTTCCTTCCTTTTGTGATTCGTTATTTTTTAATTATAATTCGTACAAATTCAGCAGTATTAGAGTGATTTTGTTAAAGTTTTAATTGAGATATTTTAATTAAGTTTTGTTATTTGTTACGAGCGACGGTAAGATATTTAGTGTAAATCATGAATCTCATTTGTTGCGTCGCAATAAACCAGTTGCTTGACTGTTACGTTAGGGCCTGTGACTTCCTCACTTTTCCTACAAATGTTGAATTTGCAGTTTTTTTTTCATGTAGTTTTATCAGCACCTTCAAATTTTCTGAGCCAAATTAAGGACGTAATTTAAATAGATATTAAGCGATTAATTCTAAGTTGATTATGTGATTGTCTTAATTTTAGTAGAATCAAAATATTTAGTTCCTTCAATTTTGTTACTATTTATAAATTGTAATTAAAATGATTTAGCTTTTAGAATAATTGTTCACTCCGATAAAGAGTATAATTAAATATAAGTTATGTAATTTTTGTTGTATTTTGCCTAATATTAATTACAAATTAAATTAAAATAATATCGTTACATTAGAATGTAAAAAAGATTATCTATTTGATCGTAAAATAATACGAAAAAAATATTTATGTTCTAGTACCATTCTATCGTGTAATTTAAATTGAAATGATGGAGCGTTGTAGTTAAATTCGTTTACGGTCACCGACGTAAAATGTAAAAATAAAATTTCGAAATACCAGTGCGATGTTTTATTTATTCACACCTCCTTTACATACGAAAATTCTATTAAAATTATCATTAGTGTAACAACACTGATCTTGTTCCTCACAATAGTTATTATATCACTACTTAAAAATGATTGAATTAAATTAATTGCCTAGTTCGGTGATTTGACGCCTCTGAATTGAACCTGACAAAAGCGCCCCAACCATAGAATGTACCGGGAGAATCTTTGCTAACGGATATTTCAACAACTTCAAATAAGAAATAAAAATGGAACAGTTTTGCAGCCTGTGGCGACTGTTATGTGTGCTAGGCATCGGAATATAGTCCTATAAGATTTAAATACATATGTATATGTCTAAATAAGTATATTGATATTTAAAAAGAACTAAAAGTTTTCAAGCTCTAAACAACCGTCTCCTAGCCATATAAAACCCGTTAATGTGGTCTATATAATCTATTACCTATAAATTGACGTTCTTTAAAAAAAATCAAAGCGATCTTTTAACGAATAAAACACATTTTGTTGATGTTGATGATAAACTTCCGTAATCTTGTCGTAAAATCATTTTGTCTTTGTCACCTTTGAGTTTTGTTTCTATTCAATGCTAATATAAAAAGTTACTAAAATTAAAAATTGGGAGCAGTATATTTGGTTAGGCGAGTAAATGTCATTCCACACAATTAGAACTTTTCATTATTATTCGAATAAAATTGAACACGTTAAACGCATTGCGCTCGTCTATTTAACGTCATTGACGAATGTCTTTTATCCAAATCGATAAAATATTTATTTAGATAAATTAACTTTTTAATTTTACACTTGCTAAGTGCTTACACAGGTAAGGACAGCAACAACCACAACAACTCTTGCATAAGTAATATAAAAAATACATATTTTAATTGAATTTTTAAATGATTGACGAATTAATTCCCTCGGCATTAGTGACTGACCCAGTGTTACGGAGTGCTTATGCAAAGATGTTATAACTTATTGATAACAATATTCCCGTCTCTGGTTGCTTTAATCAGAAAGTTGGTTTAACAGCGCCATCTAGTATTGAATAGCGGCAAGACTTCTTATTTATACGTCTTGATGAGTTGAATGTCTGAATTATAATATTGTCATTACAATTGAATATAATTCTTGTTTAAGTTACTTTAGAATGAATTAGATATTATATGTATTGTTTTGCGATGCAAGATTTGATAGAAACTTTCCCTTTTAGTAAAAAACGTCTTAGCGCTAAGTATGACACGAACTGTTACACACACATGTACACATACTGTTACTATTTCTTAAAAGATTATTAAAAATTTGCCAACAGAAGCACCTTGCTATTGTTATAAATAATTTTATCCGACCAGCATCAGTACCAATCAAGAAATCAAAAAAATATCGCGTCGCTAACTTTGGGCACCACGGCGATGTTTTGCACACCTTATTTTATGTATGGACCATACATACGTTTAAAAGCAAAGTCAATGAGAATACCGAGCAAGAAATAAATAATATACCACAAAAATTATTTATGTTTAATAAGTAAATATGTTCAGTATTTCGTGAAGGAGTTTTTTGTCAAGGGAGACCTATACCCCAGGGTTTATGTCTCCTGCAGCTTATGATATTTAGCTTTTCGATAACTCCATTAATTGCTTACTCGCTGTGATATCTGCCCTGCACTTTTTGGTCTACCTATTTGCCGTTTACCGTTAAGTACAATCCATCTGGCTCGCAAATTTAAGAAACTGCCACTGTGTAAGGCTTTTTTGTATACAATTATTTTTAAATGTACCTAATTCCTAGATATAGTGAATCTCTTTATAATATAAAGTAGAGTAAAAGTAGATATTCACTTCGTTTTATTTCCGTTTCAATCAAATTAATTAAATAACCTTTTATTATAATGATTTACGACGTAGAACAATTTGCTCTCTCATCTGCTATTCGGCGCTAGATGGCGGTAATCAAAAAATATTCATTGTTAATAATTAAGCCCTCTATGATTTTAACTTATCGACTATACGAGTATAAGTGAAAAGTACCGATAGGGAATTCGAATGCTCAGGAAACAACTTTTTCGTGTTAGTACTTACGTTGGCTACTTTATTTAGCCTTAAATTACAATGAAACAGACGTAAAAACTTGTCGTATGGGATTTCGAGTAAACATGTAAGGGCGCACCCTATACGAATACAAATTTACGCATGCGCATTACGCATTTACGCACACAATATGTCTTAATCACAGACAAACATAAAAATCAAATTCAAATACAATACTTCAAAAATCATTTAATCATATAGTAACACAATGTACACTTATGATCGTAAAAAAAAAAGAAATGTACTTGAAATGCTTCTAACTTTACATTTAGTGCCAGTTCTCAAATCAAGGGCGTAGAACGGAAGAGAAGAACTGGCACTAAACTCTCCGCCACTCTTTTTAATCGCCATGTTTTTTTTTACACAACGTTTGTAAGGAGCTGCAACCATTACACCATTTTCCACATGACATCTGAAGTTATCATTTTTAGTTTAGCAATATTGAATTATTTCTGAACCGTTACGAATAGTTATTAGAATGTAAACAATATTATTAATATTACAAAATAAAGCATAAGCTGTACTAATTCAATTTTC